CCATCAGGCATTTCGAGCCACGCTGGAGCTGCCAATCCAGCATCTTGGTGCTCACTTCTAGCCCTCGCCCGTCCCTGGCCATTCACCTCTCTCGACCCCCTTCCTGAGAGAGAGCACGAGGTGATTAATCTTGGGCGCCCGCAGCCTAGCAGCGATCGATCCTCTCGCACCTGCGGTTCTCCTCGAAGGCGACACGGTCACCCAACCAGCCCTTGGTCGCAATCACTCAGATGCGGCTGTAGCCTGAGAAGCTCCCAAGTGCACGAGATATCCTACGTACACCTGCGGCCCAGCCAGCCTGCCAACTCAAACAGGTGTCCCCAAGGCGGCGCATCCGTGACGTCGACGGCTCGTCCGGTTGACCGTCTCTTAACTTGTTGAGAGGCAACGGCCACTAAGCCGCCGAAGCAGTATGTTGTTCTTGACCGCTCTCAATCCATACCCCACAGGGTTTTGAACTGGTGCTCACACGTCTCTCGTTCCAGGGTTCGATCATGGCCGACTACAACTACGACCCCCGGGCCCAGCAGCGCTCCCGAGGCGGTTACCCCGAAAGCGGCCATCAGCAGCGAGATGCTGCCTTCTCCAACATCTTTGGATCTGCTCCGCCTGGCAGATCTCAGACGATGACATCTTCATCCATGCACCCCTCCATGGACGATCACGGTAGAACATCGACCATGAACTCCCAGTCAGGGATGCAGCGCCAACCACCACCGCGACCGCATCCAGGCTATTATGGAGAGACGCAACGGACGCGAACCATGGATTCAAACTCTTCCCACGCCTACTATCAGGGACAGCGCCCCCAGCCCAGCGGGTACGGCGGTCATCCTCAACACCAGCAACAGCAGCAGCAGCAGCAGCAACCACAGTACATCCCTTATCAGCAACAAGCAAGACGGCCATTCCCGAGCCAGGGACCGCCCCCGCCGCGGGGAGACCCTCGGGGGGCACCTCCTAATGCTGTTGGCGCGAGATACCCTCCGCAAAGAGCTTATCCTCCTCCAAACGCTGACCCCTATCGATCCCAATCCCTCGTCTCTCAACCTCGTCCCCAACTGTATCAACAACCCCCAAGCGCATATCAGCAACAGCAGCCAACCGCAAACCAATTTCGCCATGCCCCTTATTCACAGCAATCGCAGCAATCAAGGACAACTGCCCAAGGGCGAGTGGTTCCTGATCGCCACGAGGATCGATCAATGTCTATGACTGGCACCTTTCATCCCCAAGATCGAGACGCACACCAAACAATGAGTGGCCGCGTCATTCCGAATCGGAGAGCGCCATCAGCAGAGGTATCCCCAACGAACGGTTTCGCACCTCAGAACAACGGGGGGTACAACCCTGCTCCTGGCTCGAAAACGAGAACCACAAGCATGTTATCCAATGGTGGTGGTGACCATGGTAGAACCATGTCCATGGCTTCCACCATTGCACCCACGGTTGCGCCCTCAGAATCCGATGCAGGAACGATTGTTGCTACCAGGCCCGGGAGGAGCCGGTCGATGGAAAGCGAGCGTCCGCCCACTGCAACCAAAATCCGACCTCCCTTGGTCTATCCTGCCATGCTCTCCAAAGTGGCAGAATGCTTTCGCCGGAAAATTATTACGGGGGACCGTACCAAGAACGAACTTACGTATAAGAACGCATTCAGTGGATCAGAGGCAGTAGACGTGCTGTCCTACATCATTCGAACGACCGATCGAAACTTGGCCTTGTTGCTAGGTCGTGCTCTTGATGCGCAAAAATTCTTCCATGATGTCACATATGAGCACCGGCTGCGAGACTCCCAGTCAGAGATGTACCAATTTAGGGAAAATCTGATGGAGGAGCAATCAGAAGAGAAGGCAGCTGTCGACGGTGTTTTCGTATTGCTGTCTGAATGTTATTCACCAACTTGTACTAGGGATCAACTCTGTTACTCGATTGCCTGTCCCCGAAGACTAGAGCAAGTTTCCAGGCTCAATCTGAAGGTCAATCCTGGAGGCCTGCGCAAGCCTGATACCCCCCACGTCAACGATGACGAAGGCGATCAGACAGACGAGCAGAAGCTATGGATCAACTCAGTGCCGAAGGAAGTTGCCGAAAAGGTGGGGGAGCGTGAGAAGAAGAGACAGGAAGTCATATCCGAAATCTGCTACACCGAACGAGACTTCGTCAAGGACCTGGAGTACCTGCGAGATTTCTGGATCTTGCCGTTACGGTCGAAAGCGTCACCCATTCCCGCCCCACGCCGAGAAAAGGTTGTTAAGAATATTTTCAGCAACATCATCGATCACCCGAGCATTCATACAGTCAGCTCAAGGTTTGCCTCCGCCTTGACAACCCGCCAGCAGAAGGAACCCATCGTTCACAATATCGGTGACATATTCCTCGACTCTGTGCCACATTTTGAGCCATTCCTCTGGTACGGTTCCAAACAATTGGAGGGCAAGTTCGAATTTGAGAATGAGCGGTCCTCCAATCCAATGTTTTCGAAGTTTGTGGACGAAATCGAAAGGCGCAAGGAGTCGAGAAAGCTCGAGCTGAATGGATACCTAACCAAGCCCACAACCCGTTTGGCACGATATCCGCTACTGCTTGAGAATGTCTTAAAATACACGGAAGATGGTAACCCAGACAAGGAGGACATTCCCAAGGTGTTGGTCATCATCAGAGATCTCTTGGGAAGAGTCAACGCGGAGTCTGGTAAGGCAGAAAATCGTTTCAATTTGAGGAAGCTTCATGAACAGCTTAGGTTCCGGCCCAACGAAAGGGTCGACTTGCGGTTGACGGAAGAGGGCCGAGAGCTTGTATTCAAGAGTCAATTCAAGAAATCGCCAACCGATCCTACGGAGTTCACAGCATACCTTTTTGATCACGCAGTCTTGCTGGTGCGGATCAAGCAAACTGGCAAAACGGAAGAGATTAAGGCTCACCGGAGACCAATTCCTCTAGAGCTTCTTTCCATCAAAGAGATGGATGAAGTCATCCCACCAGGAGGCGTCAAACGGTCGTCTTCTAGTCTGATACCTGCCCTGAGGACCAATGAAACTAAGCAGAAGGGAGAAGGGTGGCCAATCACTTTCCGCCATTTGGGTAAGGCCGGTTATGAGTTGACCGTTTACGCCTCCAATCAGGCCGCCAGGAAGAAATGGCTGGAGTTCATTGACAATGCCCAGCAGCGCCTCCGCGCTCGCGCCGACTTTTTCAATACAACACCCATGTCAACGAATTTCTTCTCTGGTGCAAACCACGTCAATTGCTCCACCCCATATGGTAAATCCCGTTCCATTCCCAACCCTCTTGTGACAATGCTAACATTTCTCCAGACGGCGGTCGAAAATTGTTGTACGGTACAGACAGTGGAATCTATGTGTCTGAGCGTAAGAACAAGGAGCAAGCTCCCAGAAGGGTGATAGAGATTGCCTCTGTCACGCAGATCGACGTCTTGGAAGAATATCAGCTGCTCCTGGTTATTTCCAACAAATCTCTCTTCTCCTTCTCGACCACGGCTCTCAATCCCGATGAGCCAGCGATGTCGAAACGACCTAAGAAGATCCAGAGCCACTGTAGTTTCTTCAAGACTGGCATCTGCCTTGGACGTCATCTCGTCTGCACTGTCAAACCTTCTACTTTGAATTCTACACTGAAGGTCTATGAGCCTACTGATGCCATGGCCAAGGTAAAGAAACAAAAGGGCTTTGGTAAGTTCATCGCTGGTGGGCAAGACGAGTTGAAGTCGTTCAAGGAGTTCTACCTGCCTAGTGAGGCAACGTCAGTGCACTTCCTCAAGTCGAAGCTTTGCGTTGCCTGTGCCAGGGGCTTCGAGGTTGTGTCTCTTGAGACTCTGGAGACCCAGTCTCTGCTCGACCAGGCTGATACCTCGCTCGATTTCGTTGCTCGAAAGGAGAGTGTCAAGCCAATTCATATTGAACGGCTCAACGGCGAGTTCCTGCTCAACTACTCTGAGTTCTCCTTCTTCGTCAATCGCAATGGCTGGAGGGCTCGGCCAGAGTGGCGTATTGATTGGGAGGGAACCCCTGTCAACTTTGCCATCAGCTATCCTTGGATCATTGCATTTGAGCCCAATTTTATTGAGCTGCGGAACATGGAGAACGGTGCCGTGCACATAGTACGTCACAAGAATATCCGGATGCTCCATAGCAGCACTCACGAGGTAAGTTCCAAACAATCAACTCCTTACAACCCTACTCAATCCGGTTACTAACATTATTGATTAGATATTGGTTGCGTGGGAAGATGAACGAGGCGAAGACATGGTCCAAGCGTTGGACTTCTGGAAGACCAACCGCCGATCTGACACGTTGGGGGTGCCAGCAGCTTGATCCACGACTGTCCTTCATTTGGCCTGATCTCACGATGGCTGCTTTTTCTTACCCTGCAGAGAATAGACAAGCGAGTCGTTTGAGAAAATCTAGCCTTTGTGTGTATTCTCCATCCTCCTTCATGATGACAATGGTTGGCATCCAAACTGCAGTTCTCAGTTTCACCTCTTCCCCGTCGTATCCTCAAGTAGTCGCAGCGAGCATTGCATTGTCTTTTGGTCTTCTCACTTCTGTCTCCTCGCGCGTCTTTTTCCCCCTCACATCTCGTGCGCAACCACTATACCTTTTGAATTGGTTCATCGTTGAGGGCGCACGAGTTCAGAGGAGAACGGTTTGGTTTTCATTTTCGATACAAGAGCAGTTGTTGGTTGCTCCCTCTTCCCCATTCCGAATGCTTGCGGATGGGTGGGCAATCGACCCAATGTAGGAAACAAGAAGGCATATGTTTTTTGTTTTCCCCAGGGGAGCCAGCGATTTATTACTTTTTAATGGCATTTTGGCCTTGCACAATTATCCGGGTAGAACGTTGTTTATCATATTTTTTTCAGCGTAATCAAAACCACATTTGACTGAATCATCCTAGTTCCTGTTTGCCATGTGCTTGAAGTGGGATGATTGTTCTCGAGTTTAGACCCGCGGTCCTCCAAATCCACCATGGACTCGCACCGGTTCAATATTCGTAGTCTTAGTTGACGCCGCTCCAGAAAACGCCTCTACAACACGCCCGCTCTCAATCACGACCGGTCCCCATCTCTGCTCCCGGCTCTTCCATGCCCATTTCCTCGTATCATCGTCCTCCCCACCATCCGTCGTCCCCTTCCAGACCCCCATCTCATCGAGCAGCACCTCCACCACAGTGACAAACTCCACCGTCTCCCGATCCCTCGGTGCCGCGGCCGCGGCGGCTGTGCGCACGCCAGCCAGCAGCTCCGAGTCCTTCCTGGAGCGCGGCACCCGCGTACAGAGCAGGTGCAGGTCGAGGAGCTGGGCAAACACGAGCCCAAACGCCGGCTTGGTCACGGTGTAGCGGCGGGCAGCAGCGCCAGCGGTCATCCCCTCGCCGTAGCTGGCGGACGGCTGCGGGTTGTGGAAGATGGAGCGGAGGGTCGGGTCGAGCTGCTTCCGCTGCCGTTCCGACGGGTACGACGCCGTTGAAGGGGGGGGAGGGGCGGTCGGCCCCGGTGCCGCGGCGGAGGAGGAGGAGGTATCGACAGCCGTGTTTGTGGAGTTGAGTATGAGGATGAGGGGGTTGGAGGGCAGTGAGCGCGAGAGGTGGCGCACGTGCGAGGCCAGGAGCTGGAGCTTGGCGTGGGCGGCTGTGGAGGAGCGGTGGGAGAAGAGGGCGGAGAGGAGGGAGGAGAAGTGCGTGATGATGATCATGTCCGGCGCCGTCTTCTCTGTCGCCGGAGCGGCGGATGAGGCGTCCGCTCCGCCCTCTCCTTCCAGTTCATCGTCCTCCTCGTCCTCGCTGTCCTGGATCTCCTCTACTTTTTGAACGGGAGTTGGGTCGGGGCGGTCTAGATCGGCCAACACCTCCCACAGCCCGTCCATATCGAACACGCAGGAGAGCATCACCTTGTCAAGGGCGTCTCTGACTTTGGCAGCTCTGTTAGCAGGGCTGGTCTTCTTCCATTCTGACTCCGTTGCAGCCAGTTCTGCCTTGATTCCGTCTCGCAGAACTGGAAGAATCGTGGTGGCCGGTTTGGGAGTGATGACAAGCACCCGTTTGACCACGCCCTGGGAGAGCGAGTGGGCTATGATCTGCACCGCAAGCTGGACCACCAACAATATCAAACAGTCAGCCTCTAGGTATAGGTAGTCGGAGTGGGCGAGGATGGCGGGTAGGGAAGGGCAATCAAGGGACAGCAGGGCGAGTGCAAAAGAAATCACGGAGCAGATGTATTCTCACTCACCACCAGACCAAACTCATCTTCCCGTTCGGAACTCAAGCCGACAACCGACCCGCGCTCTAATCCCCCCATGAGGACATAGTCATCTATGTCGTCACACCCGCTTCGGCATGCTCCGAGCTTCTGGTTGGAGACCCGTCGCTCTCTTTCTCTATTCAAAACTGCTGCGGCCACCACGGGCTCCAAAGCAAGATGCGAACTCGCTTGCGAGACCGGCAGGGGAACTTCATCCATGGCTGTCTGGAATTATATGAGTGGGTTGGCAGTTGAGTGAGCTTGGTTTCCGGCTGGGGTTTCCTCTTCGCATTTCCTCTCGATGATCGCTTTTCTCCTTGGGGGAGGGCAAGACAAACCAGCAAACCAGCCCATAGCCTCTAGACTACTCCCAGGTAGATGGAATTGCAATCTCGTTAGTGCACATGCCTGTTCTGTCTCATATCTCTTTCAATATTGATCAGAAAAAGAAACAAAAGCGTTGATGTATGTCCGTCTCCCCTCAATGGACAAACTACCCTATAGCTCCTAAGGCAACTAGCGAGGTAGTAAAGGTACCGTGCCCAACCCAAATTGAACTGGCTTAGAAACTTCACATATTCCCAGCGATTATTCCCAGCGATCATATCTTGAGCTTCTCCGCTTACAATGCAGCGAGTGGAATGGTTTATTAACGATGACGTTGGTATTTGGAAATGGCGATTTGTATCATCACTGCAGCCTATTGCAAACTTAAAAGACTCCCAAATCTTCACATACGCCCAGAACGAAGCCCTTGTACCATCGCGTTCTTTCCCTCTAAAAGTCTAATAGCACACAACAGCTTCATAGTCTTCTGAATCACCTCGCTGCAAAAGAGTGCCCTCGCATGTAAAGCGCAACAAGAAAATGCGGCTCATGCCATGGCTCGCTGATAAGCGTTCCACGATGTCCTGTTCCCAGCTCTTGTCCAACCGGTATTCTAAGTCAGGCAGCTGGAATAACTCGAATTTTGCCCAGTAGAAAGTAAGGGACTGTGAGGGATTGGGAGGCCCCAATCACAAAATACCCAGATACTTGGGCTGACACGCCCCTCGATCAATTCATTGATATCTCCATCTTCCTCCTCTCACATACAATGACCTTTGAAGTGCGCGCCAAAGGTATGTACGTGCGGTGTCATGCTTGCCAGGTTCATTCAACGAAATCCAATCACTAGTGTAGAGAGCCAGGTCGGTTGTCCACCACAATCGATGTTCACCAGGAGACACAGATAAGCTGGAACCATGTCCCAATGCTTATTGCCTGAAAAAGCAGACATCCAAGATCCACTATGTAGCGTTAGGGCTTAGAGGCTCGCTCGCCTTTGGTCTCCTCCCGCCTTTCAAACTTCTCATTCGGCCGAGGATGCCTGTGGGCTTCGTGTTTTCCTCGGGTTGAGCATCTGTGGTTGCTCGCCTTTCAAGTGGTCCGCCTGCGGAGCCTCGCCTTGGATACGATGCTGGACTTGTTGGCGACATTGCATCGTCTCGTGATTTCACACTAATGTACTCCTCGCCCTTGCCGTACTCCGAGAAGAAAGGGTTCATCTCTGTTCCAGCGCTGGTGGCATCGGGCGAGCGCCTGTTGTTGAACTGCGCCCCGGGCGTATTGATCCGCGCACCCGCGAAATCACGCTGTGGTCTGTTGATGCCTCGGATCCTCTGAGCCAAGGACTTCTTGCGCTGCAAGCCACCTTCGGCTAAATCTTCAGACTGCTCCTTATGATGGCGAGCAATGGCTGATCTCGCGGCAGGCGTACCCTCTAAGAATGTTGATGTTCCTAAACCAACGCTCTCCTCTCCATGGATTGCATCGCCTCGAGCCTTGGGGTCGAAAACTGGGGTCGTAGTACTGGTCGGCTGAGAAGAGGAACCATTTCGGTCTTTATCTTTGGAGCTATATGAATAGTCCTTGAAGGCCTCGCTACTGTTGTGGCCTAAGAATGTTGAATGGTCCGCCTGCTTGTTTAGCGGACCAGATCCTCCCAGGGAATTGTTGAGGGAATCCTTGGGAAACGCTTGCATGGGAGCCCTTCGGCTTGTCTGGCGGTTTCGATGAGGGTTGAGAGCGTCGAAAGGCCCATCGTGGTGGAAAACTATACGCGCCCATGTTAGACCTCCAAGATAGTACGGAACTCAGTACAGATCGGAACTACTCACCTCCATGGCCGTAAATGCTTGTTGCGTCCAGTTGGTCAATGATATCCATCCTGCGACTGGGTCGGCCACTACCACCACCCGTTTTGCTTCGGGACTTGCCGTCGCGGGGTGCTTCTCGTCTCTCACGGCCCTCTCTCTTTTCGCGATCATCTCTCTTATCACGGCTCTCTCGTCCCTCGCCTTCTGGGCGACCTCGTCCTTCTCGTTGATTTTCGCGCCGCCTAGCCGCAATCATTTGCTTCTCTTCTTCAGTTAGAGGCTTAGAATCAAAGTCAAGGACTGAAGATTCGGAATTTCGTCGAGGACGGCGCTGTTGTGGTGGCGGTCTTCGTGATGGCGACCCTGGTCCTCCTGGTCGCGGCCTGGATCCATGACGTTGCTGATTTGAGGGGGCAGGTTTGCTTCCAGATATGTCAAGACCCAGGCCTAAGAGGTCACCCTGCTTGTTCCCCGAGGATGGTTCAGCTTTCTTCTCGCCCTTCTTATCATCAAGTGTGAGAGAGTTCTGCTGATCGCGTGTAATTAGCATCTCGGGCTTAGGACTTCGAGCCGGCGTAGGTTTGCAATGTATTCGACAAATGAAGCGGGAGGAACGTGGTCGAGAACAGGACAAAGTGGAGGGCACCATACAAATATTTCCTCAGCAGAGAGGGATTTGGAGTCTGAGTGGTTCGACATGGTTCCAGGCGACCTCACGGGAGGCAAGGACTGGTCGAGGAAAGGGTTGCGGGATAGAGGACGGGCAGGAGGATCCTCAAAGGGAGACGCTGGAGATACAGCACGATTGCGGAAGGGATTGTTTGAAGAGAGATTGATGCTCAGGCCGACAGGCGGCTGGTCTACTATGAGGTGAAGCGATCAGCGTCTGAACAGGTAGGGGGCAGGTACACGCAAGCGATCAGTGGTGACGACAGATGAATGGGTCAAACATGAAACGCAGACATTTCCAGCAATGACACAACACAAGTGAGTGGTGGCATCGAAGTGGATCATGGCTACGGCCGTGCACCCCTCTGATATCGTTTGGCCGTTAGGAATTGCAGTTTCAGCTCCCCTCTCCTATCATCTCCTCTCTCGTGCTCGCTCCTTATCTCTCTCCCTGGTGGTGGTGACCAAGAACTAGCTGGCCCGGGGAGGGAGGGATGTTTCCCTGGCAGGAGAGCAACAAAAAGGCGGGCCCGCCAACAGGTATGCGAGACGAACGGCGGCTAGGCATTGATTGGGCACGATGGGGAGACAGAAATGAACATCAAACATCGATCTTGTTTCACGTACCTCGCTGGAACGAGTCAGAAGTCGACATTGTGGCGACAGCGGGCGCCGAAGCAGTGTGCGATGCTGCAGTGTGTCGCCGAAGGTGTCGGCGGTTGGGTGACGGAGAATGGGAGCGTGCGAGCGAGCGTGCGAGATTGCGGACAATGCAATGAGCGACGAGGACCCGATGCGCGTGGCACCTTGTCAATCGGATGAATTAAATTCCTCTGGCCTAAAGACCAGCTGGCGGCGTCATGCCCAGAAAGCGACTGACGGTACGAGGATTTGTTGCAATTGCGAGAGGAGAAGGCTGGACGGAACTGGACAGGAGAGGAGGGGAGAAATGAAGAGCGGACAGCGACTTGTTAATAGGCAAGGAGTAATTAGTAGGTAGGTAGGTATGTAATTAGAAGCTTGGTTGGTTTCCAGCAGGAGCCAGAGCGGCAGACGGCTCGCGACCACTGGGCCTAGTCGGCTAGCAACTCAACAGTGCAAGCACCAGCGACTCAGCAGGTTGTGAACAGGTGCTGCAGGCACATAATTAGGCATTGGCTAGCAGAGGCATTGCCGGGGGCACTGTCGCCATCGACATGGACGGGATAATTAGCGGGTGCACGTACCTACAGCGTCGGCTATTAGTCTGGGCGCTCAGTCTGTGCCTGGCCTGCCTACAGGGAGGCGTTGCTAGTCAGTGCCACCTGGTCGTGAGTGAGGGGGCGCCCCGGGTCCAAGGCCCAAGACCCAAATCCGAGAGAGGAGAGGTGGTGGTGGGGGCCGATGAAAAGGGGGAGCGACCTGTGAAATTGTGTTCCTGGCCGGCTCGTGTCGTCTATGGCACCAGAGCAAACCAAATCAAGGGTGAGGTGTGGGTTGGTGCCTGGCCTGGCGCCGAATGCGTTGGGCGTGACGGCGCTATTCCTCGATCCAGTGAATTGGACCTTGCCGAGAATGTATGTAGGCGCCTTCGTTGGGGTGCAGCAAATGATGGAAGGGATGCAGATCAGCAGGAGGAGCCAGCTGGACCAACGACGGCAGACTGGCAATCAGCTTGCTGTGGGGGGCGTTCAATAGGTTACTCGAGGCTGAGGTTCAACGCTGCCTCATGCGTAATAGTCCAGTGTACCTGGTCGCCTGCTCCAAGAACTGGTGGTGTCCCCTGGATGCTGGGGCTGCATTCATTAGGAAAGGATCAATGCGATGGATCCAATTGTAAATTAACCCAACGAAAGCAGGTGATCAGCAGCGCCTTGGGTCCGTTTAGCAATTGAGAGCGAGCGGCCCCAATTCCTGATATCGTATCGCGCTCTGTTCTGTGGCCGAAGGATGAAAATGATGGTAGCACAAGAAGGAAGCCCAAAATGGTAACGGATGAAGATGGAAGAGTATGAAGGGGCTGGTGGACGAGGAGGACGAGAGAAAAGCACAGCAAAGATGGCGGTGAGATTGAATTCAAATGTTTCAAATGACCAGTCGTTTGTTGAGACGGTTTTTTTGTTCCTCTTCGGAGGGCCGAGTGAAGGTGGCGGCAACAACGTATGTACATGGAATGTAAGTAGTGGTTGCCGAGGACAACAAAACCACCCTCTATTAATAAACGACCTGCATACCCAAGATAGGCACTTCCCTCGTATGAAGACCGAAGGTAAATTACCTATTTGATGAAAAAGGGCGGGGAATGTGCATCCTCGCGCTTACAACTCGCCCACATGCCGCAAGGTATATAATTATTATATAGTCCCGCAGCCGCGATTACCTTGCAAATAAGTATGGATATTTAAATAGATCGTCAGTACGTGGACATACCGT